TAGGAAATCCCACAAGTCAGTCATGACTTGAAAGGACCCCAGGACACAGAAGTGGGAGTCTGATGTCCAAATGGTTGAGGGATCACCACAGATTGCTGAATTAACAGCTGTTGTCTGAGCTTTTGAGAGATTCTCAGAACCATTTAATCTGGTCATGGATTCGACTTACAAAGCCAGAATAGACTGAACATGCATTTCTAAAGAAAGTCTCCAACCCCAAATTGTATAAATTGCTTTCTGAATTAATATACCTTATCTCCCACAGAAAGCAACCTTACTACGTCATGCATATGAGGGCGCACACTGACCTCCCAGGTGCCATTGCCGAAGGGAAGAGGAGGGCAGACACCTTAGCCATGCCTGCTGGAGCAGCCATTGTCCTGGACATTTTCGCACAAGCGAAATTGTCCCACCAGTTCTTCCACCAAAACGTGCCTGCACTGATTAGAATGTTCAAACTACCCAGGGACCAGGCTAGGGGAATAGTTGCTACCTGTCCCAATTGCCAATCATTCCAGACACCTACCATTAACTCCGGGGTTAACCCCCGAGGACTTAACAGCTGCCAGATATGGCAAACTTACGTCACTCACGTCCCATCCTTTGGGAGAGTTAAATATGTACACGTCTCAGTGGACACCTTCTCTGGTGCAGTGTTTGCCTCAGCCCACACAGGAGAAAATGCTAAGCATACCATCTGACATTTTCTCCTTGTGTTTGCTACCCTGGGAATCCCAGAACAAATTAAAACAGACAATGGACCCGCTTACACCTCTCACAAATTAAGAGACTTTTTCAACCAGTGGGGAGTGAAGCACACCACAGGCATACCTCATTCTCCTACAGGGCAATCAATTGTGGAGAGGACACACCAAAACCTGAAAAGAGTCCTTGATCAGCAGTGGGGAGGAACAGAGATCATTCCTCCCATTGAGAGGCTCTGTAAAACTCTGTATGTCATGAATTTTCTAAATTGTTCTCCTACAGAGCCTGAACCCCCTGTAATACAGCACTTCTCCAATTCGACCCATGCCAAACTCACCAAGAAGCCACCGGTGCTGCTCAAGGATCCTGAATCACAACAGACATCAGGACCTTTCCCATTGATTACCTGGGGGAGAGGGTATGCTTGTGTGTCCACACCATCAGGACCTAAGTGGCTCCCAGGGAAAAATGTAAAACCTCATTTAGGCCCTATAACTCCTGGACCAGACTCAGAAATTTCAAAGTCTCCTGAGACCCACACAGGTCCAGAAAAACAACAGACCACTGCAGCCTGGAAACGGAGACACTGTCAGAGTCCACCGAACTGACCTGCCACCAGACCACCAACCAGACAGAAGCCAAACCGTCCTGCTACCAGGACCACAAGAAGACAAGAGCCAACGTCAAGCCCGACACTGTGACATTGCACAAGTTCCCTTAACTCCCTCCCCCTCCCTTTTCCATCTCTCCCTTCCCCTTCTTATCCTCATTACCTAACCCAAATTGCCAGTTTACACCAAAATGCACCTCAATGCTGCTGCTGGTGTCTGGTCATGTGTCCCCTATGCCCAAAATAGCCCCACCAGCAACCAACTACCTCATCCCCTGTTGCATCCTGTTTGTTTGATTTTGCTGAGTAATTAGTTAGTATGTTCTGGTTGTTCCCCTCCTGTTATGCAATGGTTTTGCCCTGTTGTCAATTTTGTAAACCCCTCCTATTATTCCTGAACCTCCCCTATCAGTCACCTCTATCCTGCCCCTTGCTACTGCCCATCATTTTAAGCCCTACCTCCCTTTCCAGTACCTTCTATGTCTTTCACCCCCTGTTCAGCGTGTGATTGGTTTTGTAGCTGCTGCTCCACCCATGTAATATCCCCATTGGTCCTCAACTTTGTGTACCCCTCCCTTGACTCCTCCTGAGGAGCTTCCTGATTGGTCTTTGAGTTGTACCCACCCTGCCTTAAAACCTGATGCACAGAGGTGCTCGGGGCTCAGCCTTTTCTCTCATTCTGCTGTACCAGTCCTTACCCCAGTCATTGTTCCCCGTACCTGTTAATAAACCAGTTCCTGGGAAGCCAAAGAGAAGCTGAGTCTCCTCTGTCCTTTTACTGACGACTCAAGATGCCTGAGATCTACAGGGCCCGAGAGTAGGGGGCTCTGGAGGTTCGGCACGGAGTCCATTGCACCCGTGCCGTTCCCCACTCTTGACGCTGCCAGCGGCAGAGTGGATCGAGCTAGCCCAGAGTTTCGGAGAGCCGTAGAGTGCAGCGTCAATCCCCAAAACCTATTCCCCGCTTATAGGTATTTCTTTTAGAAAGACGGGGAGACAGGAGAGGAAGGGGAAAAAGAAAATAGTCCCCCCCCCAACCAAAGTCAGAGCTAATCTTTTTATGTTTTGTTATAGAAAATGGAGAGCAAAACCATCCTTGAGTTCCTGACATTCCTGACCATCTGGATGCTCCTGAAAACATCAGCTGTGGATGCCTGGCTAGTAGCACAGCCCCAGGAGAATGTGTGGATCACCCCCACAAAGAGTCTCAAACAAGACCACATGTGCTTGTCCACGGGCAGCGCCACCAACCCTCTGTCATCCTGCCTGGTAGGGATTCCGTTGAAGCCCCACGAATACCCTTTCACAGGGAAAAAACCCAACCCGGTAGACATTTGGGACGAGTGGACAAAGATTTTGCCCCATGCACCAGAGGAACCCCAGGAATTGGAGCTTTTGGGGTCCTCCAAGGCTACCTATTGCATCAATTTTGATTATGGCCGAGTAGACAATGCATGGCCTGCCTCGGAATACCACAGGGCAATTAAATCAACGAAAAATGTGACTCCCAACAGTAAAATTTACAATCAGTTCAAATGGTGCAATTATACCAGCAGTACACAATCCGCCTCCTCTCATCCTAGAGTGCTGCCCCGGGGAGTGTTCTTAATCTGTGGGGATAGAGTGTGGGCAGGAATCCCTTACCAACTCCAGGGAGGTCCTTGCACGCTTGGACAGCTTACCATCCTCACTCCAAACTCAACTCTAGTGCATGATTAGCTGAAAAAGAATGAATTGGCCCGCCAAAAGAGAGACCTCACTCAGACAAAAATTGCTATAGCCAAATTGAAGATTGGTCATACACAAAGAGGGTGGTGATGTCAGCGTTTTTGCCGTGGGTAGCTGCTGCTAAAGCCTTTGGTGAGCTTTCTCACCTGGAGTGTTGGCTTGGTAAGCAGGCCAACCTGACCTCCTCTGTCTTGAGCGACCTCTTGACAGATGAAGAGACTTTTAGGCACGCCACGCTACAAAACCGAGCTGCCATAAACTTTCTGCTCCTGGCCCATGGACACGGCTGGGAGGAGTTTGATGGACTGTGCTGCTTTAACCTCTCCAGCCACAGTGAAGGCATCCGCGTCCGCATCCAGAGACTCCAACGTGTGGTCCAGGAACTCAGGACTGAAAAGGAGCCCCAGTGGTTTAAGGACCTTTTTGGGAGCTGGGGACTCAAAGGATGGGTTGCCTCCCTCCTCAAAAACATTTTTTGGGTTTTCCTAATTATTATTATTTTCCTATGTATGTTTTCATGTTTTAAGAAGTTATTAGCCAAATCCCTGGGAGATACCTTTTTAATAAATAAAGAAGGAGGAGTTGTGGGGGCCGGGAAACTGGCTGATTCAGAGATCCTGGCTCTCCCTTGGAGGCAAGGCACTTTTCTCTCAGAGAGAGAAAAGTGTCACTCCCAGAAATCTTTGAGTTAGTTATGTTAAACTGTTACACTCCATTGGTGTTTTCCCCTGCCATTCCACCCTGATACATGTATCCCAGTTTCCCCCTGCCCCTCTCCTCCCCGGTAAATACCCCAGTTTTTCCCCTGTTCAGGAGAATGGCTGTCACTGGCTCCCTTCACTGAGGGCTCTGCTTTAATAAAGGCTAGTTCTCTGCGGAATGCCACACAGCGCTCTAGTTCCTTCTTCCGCACTGCCTGCAGACCTCCGTTGAGCTGAAATCACTCACCGGGCAGAGGACATGCCTGTGACCCTGAGCAGTCGAACCGCAGACCACTTCTTCCAGGTCGTTGCAGCACCCCGCCACCTCCACCGCCTCGGCAAATCCCAGCACTAGCTCATATTATAGCTCATATTTTTCATGCAGGTAACACATGTCTGCCTAGCAAAGCCACTAGAAGACCAAAAGCACTGTGGACAAACAGACTGGAGATACTGTAGCCTTATGTATGACGACAAGAAATTTCCTTAACAGAAGCTTCTCAAAATAGCTGGCATTTGTTAACAGGCTGACTTGTGCGCTCCATGTGCCTCCATGAGCATATTAATTAACACTATTAATCTCTGAGAAATTGATGACACTTCCTAAAAATATCTCAAAAATATATACACAATGTAAGCTCT